AAGAATAATAAAAGGAATGGGCAATAGAAAGATGCAATCGGATCTAGCGATCTCGCGTTATTTCGTCTTCTCTCCGGTTACTCGTCGTGAATTATCGCAAACAGCCGATAACGTCTACGACAAGGCTTCCTGAGATCGCGTCGACACGAGGGCTACTTAGAATTCCATCTACGTCAGTGGTTGAAGAAGCGAGATGAGGTAGTGAGCCCGCTTGACTCGTTCCACCTCTCCTTTCCCGCTTCTCGGTTTCCTTCGCACGGCTTGACTCGACCACGTGCTAACTTACGAGCTACGATCGCTGTGTGTACCCTTCCACGTTTTCTTCTCTCTCCATTCTTCCGTTCCATCCAGCTTTCTTTCTCTTCCTCCACCTCTTTCTTCCGCTCGTCCTCCTATCGGTCCCTCGTTCTAACGCTGCTCTCACGTCGTATCGTTTTTTCGCTCCTTACGAGAGAGAGAGAGAGAGAGAGAGAGAGAGAGAGAGAGACCACTCTAGATTATTAATCCACCAGCGAGAGAGGATCCGTGACGTTCGCGGAGAAAATTATGGGCTGAGAGCACGGTCAAGGTGCTGCTGCGTTAACAAGCGTTAGCGCAGAACAGAAGGATAGTGGCTTCGAAGATGCAAGATCGTGTTTCCTTCAAGAGTTAGACTTCGACATCATCACTGTGGTACCGAATGTCGAAACTGATAACAACGACAATTTGCACCTGACAAATTTCTCCGCGCGAGAGATCAACCTGTCCCTTCATAATCTTGCTATTCTTGCGGCAAAATGGCCTGTCTCGGCTTTCCTTGATGTAAACTGTAAAGTTATAGCGAAGAACATTGTAAAGTTATTACGTAGCTATCGAGTTAGAGTCCCGTATTCGAAAAAAACGTGCGTGCAAAAAGCGCTGCGCCGCTTCACGTTATAACGTACTGTGAAGATTCAATTATTGGACAAGCGCTATCATCTACTGGAGGATACAGATTCTCTTCTGAATCGATCGTCGGCGAATGTATGCCAGACAGACAGTTTATGCAAAAACTTGACGCGTGTTTTTCAGTGAAAAAGAAAACGAAGAAGATATGGCTGACATGAATCGAGCTGATGAAAGCAGGGCAATAATTGGCTAGAAACAATAAACGATATTTTTATTTGTGAAATGTAAATGATATTTTACATTTACGGGTATATACGCAGACGAAGTAGGCAAAAGAGACAAAGGGATGGAAAGAGAAGGAAAATGATAGCACGCTGGGCAGAGGCGGCACGAAAAGATGAGAGAGAAGAAAGGAGAGAGAGAGAGAGAGAGAGAGAGAGAGAGAGAGGCAGATAGAAGAGAAGAGAGAGAAAAAGAGAATGCGAGGGAGATCGGCAAGGTTCAAAGAGCCGACAGTGGTTAAAGAGCCTTCTTCCTCTCTCCATCTTGACACGCACAAGTACAAGACGCAACGTTTCGAGCTGACCAGAAGGGAGGGAAACCAGTGTTCTCGCTTTTTTCTATTGCCTCTCTCCTCTCTCTCTCTCTCTCTCTCTCTCTTTCATCTCTTCCTCCTTCTGCCCTCTGCCCTGCCGTCTTCCATCTCACATCGGCGCAGCAAATTTATTTCACGTTGCTGCCTTTTCTGGACCTTTCACAATATTTGGCCACGCTGCATCGTCCAGTACCGTCGGGCACCAGTCACTAGAAGATACGGCTTTGAGCCATCCGTGATGGATGGTTCGCTCTCCAGGTTGCCACGAACTGCTGCCTCTACTCTCTCCCTCATTCTGTTCCTCGGTTTCCTCTTCTATCTAGAGGATGCTAGACGACGGCGAAACTCAGGGCCGCTTACGGCTTTGAGAGACGCTCGCGCATCTGAAATCAAAGTGGCACGCAGTCCTTCTTTCAGGACTGCGAAACACGCGTAAGTCGCGCGGACTAGGATTTTCATCGAAGATCGTATAATGTTCTTTTCACAAACGATTTCTTTTATTTTCAAAGAATCATAAATCCTACGACTATCAAAGTTGTAGACACATCGTCCGACCATTTCACGTATAGCCTATGACGTTCAAAGTTCAAAACGGACTCGCGAACATCGCTGAAAGTATTGTCCAGGAGCGCCGGAGTATTGTCCAATGAGCCGTCCCTGGGTCGGCGGACCCTTCCAGCCGCGGGACCGTTCTCCACCGAGTTCGTGCAGGTATATAAATTCTGGTGCTATTATTGGGGTTTGCGCCTTCTCACAAGGCCCTCTGGACCCCGCGGCGGCCTCTTTGAGCTACTCTTTCCGCCTCTCTCGCTCCTGCTTATCGTTGTTGACCCCCCTCAGCATCCCCGCTCATCCTCTTCCTCCTTCTTCTCCTCAACCACCTCTTCCTCCTTCTTCTCCTCCTCCTCCTCCTCCTCCTCTTCCTCCTCCTCCTCCTCCTTCTCCTCCTCCTCCTCCTCGTTCACCGCCGCTCCATTCTCTCCTTCTCACCGGCTATGCCACACCGCCCTGTCCTGTTTGTTTTTCCTCGCGTCGTCTTCCGTTTGCTAAACGCACCTTAAATTACGCGGCCGATGATAAATATTTGAGCCGTCCATTACATGAAAGGCCCACTCGGACCGTCGTTCGGCCGGTGTTACCTCCGCTTGCTCGACATTAGGTTCCTCCAGGATATCGTGTTACCTCGAAAAAAGAGACAGCTGAGCTCATACATTCGTGGACCGCTTGTCTTGTCCGTTGCGACAGAAATTTGCAGGCTAAAGAAAAACTTTCGGCCTGCACTGGCATTTTCCGACTCAATGATAGTGAAAAGTTAATTACTGAAAAATTAAAATACCTTTGTTTTGGCAACTATTATTTTTGTTGTATACATAGAATATCGTATATTTAATGGATCTTACATTTATACATTCTATGACTAATCAGAATCAATCCTCTTTTTTTAATTGACGTCACGCATTGTTAATTTCATAATGCCAAATTATACTTAATCATTTAAGTATAATTTTATCATTTTTAAGCATATCTATAGATTGCCATTGCAACTCTTATTTAATTTGACTAAAACAATGGAGTTAAACAATTTAACTCAAGAAAATGTATTCAATTTGACCCAAATTTAATGCATTATTTGCAATAATCTATGAAACTAACCACAGAAATAGATCGATTTACACCCAAAGACTACATAAAAATCAATAAAAAATTAAAATTAATTTATTTTGATTCTTAACGTCAATAAACAGTCAAATTTTATTAATAAAAAATCATCATTTTGACTTTCTCGTGTCTTGGTGTGTTCCTTGAGCATTTTGATACAGATGGAAGTGAAAAATAACAAAATATTATTTAGGACAACTCGAGGGATTGAGTTATCAGTGTTCCTTTGATATCTAGCAGTAAGGAAAACCATCGTTTGTTATTGCGAGTATGAATTTGATTTGAAATGTGAATGAAAATGCATTTTAAGATACGAGATACGAAATTTATCACAGATATTAAGACGTTAAGAATCTGTAATAAACCGATAAGAATCACACGTAATCAAGTCTGTTAGATATAATATAGATATCATTTCGACACGATAAAACCGATCGATAGCACGCTATTTTCATTGGTCTCATAACTCAGCCTGGAGTCGAGTGTCACGAGTGAGAAGACCATCTAACGCGACAAAAGGAATCTTAATCGTAGCTCCATGCACAGGATCATCGACAATATTCTCTTCTCCTTTATATTTTCTCACGATGCAACGATCTTACATGGCACGGCAACGCCGCGCCGTTACTTGCACCTCGATAGCAGAATTTTATTTCCAATCCCCCGCGCGCGCAACTACACATACACGCGTACACAATACACATACCGCAGCTGGCCACGAAAGTCAAAGTGCCTCGTAACAGGATTATGAAATGTTCCGGAGTAGCGTTCCACGGATGTTTACAGCTCGCGAATACTCGTTACCTTTTATTACCGGCAAGTTTCAGCGATTTCTGGCATTGGCTCCGTTAACGAGCGACATTTTATATTTTCATTGGGCCATAATTCTCCCCCTTTCCGCGTAGGGCGATGCATACGGCTCGTAATTCGGCCATTGTGTTTCCGGATGCACCGCCGAGGAAAATTCACGAAAAATCAAGTCCGTGACACTGTAATGTGTCAGAAGGCGGTGGAAATTTGGCTTTGAAACGTTGGAATAGTTTCCGGCGAAAACTTCACGAGTTTATCACAGATATTATCACTCTGGCATTATCACCTTCTTGCTTCTAAGAATATTTTCAATTTTATTAGAATCTTTGCAAGTTTTAACATATGTAGGTACTCAATATAACACACTTTTTTAAACATAAAAACTGTTTATGTTCCGGAATTTCTTTCAATTCCCTCATATTCAAAAATACAAAACATCTTACCATTTTTACTTAAATCGTTTTTACCTATTTTATCTAACGCTGGATAAACGATTTGAAACTATTTCGCGGAAGTTTATTCGTAAAATCATCACGTTTTAAACGATCATGACGCGTTTGATTTAAATACATCTGTTAACATGCGTTAACAAGTATTTGATTAAAATTTAGTTAGAATTTGTTATTAGACATAGTGAGAGAAATAAATATTTTTCTTTTTTTATTTGAAGAATGACTTCACTGATCACAATGTGTCATTATATTAAGCAAAACTTTTATCATCAATTTATTTTCTTATTTCATTTTTTTCTATGAAATCTGACGAGCGAATACGCGCCAAACATTTATATACGAATAGTGTCAAGAATTAGGAAATATTATTATCGACGCGCGCACAGACGAAGTTTTGCTTTTTTCAACGCGATTGTAGTTATAGCTAGAATGCCGCGGGCACGTTTCAGCACGACGTTGTGTAAATGTGAACGGGCCAGTGATCGTTTGTGTATTTGGGAAAGATGTTTATTATCAGTAAACTGAACTCTTTGCCGTACTCCCCTTCTCTGCTTGTTCACCCTCCGAGGTAGACTTAGACTTTCATATCAGTTGCCGTATAACCGTGCCTGGTCTCGTATACTTCACTCGCGCTGTATAATACCGATCAACGGTATTTGGCTCGCATAATCGGTCGTCTGATGTGCAAATACCAATCGCATTTCTCGCAGACAGATCGAACGGTAACGATGATCAATGATCGTGCAATGTTCGCACATTCGTAATCGGTACGATGCGTTTACGGATTTTTCTCACGATATCTCGTGAAGGTGTCAAAGTGCTCGAAGAGATAATAAACAGCCAATCCACACTCGCAGTTATCAATTAACAATAACGTAAAAAAGGAAAATAATTTACTTCGGTGAATGATAGTTGGAACGATAGTTAATTATTATTCATGTCTATGTCATATAATTTACGCATAATATAATAATTGTCGAAAGCCAAGTGTTTAAATGTCAGTCTTCATGAAAGTTTCACAAAATGTGAGAAGGAATTGCGAATCTACGCCGAAGTAAGCCAGAGTACTAATAGTAGAAAAAGAAATGGAAAGAATCGAGTGAGCGAAGAGGAAGAAACTAAAGAAGAAGAAAAGAAAACGAAGAATTCTACAGCGCTCCAAGTATCCGTCAAGGTCATTCTTGTAAGCCTCCCACGCATCTCGTGTTGCTTTTATCATGGGGGTCCTGATTCGTCCTTTGGGGGTAGAAAATCATTAGAAATCTTCGCGATGAATCCTATATACGTAGTATAATGTTGGAAGGTTTTACAGAGTGAAGAGCCGAGGGAGTGCGAAGAAAGCGACGCACTTCGATGAAGAGAAGAACGGAGTAACGAGGTAAGACGGCACGATGGAGAAGAAGTGTAGTCCAATCGGCGATAGACGAGAAACACCGAAGAAAGAAAGATAGTTAAAGAAGAAACTGGCGAATGGTGAATAACGAAGAAACAGAGAGATGAAAGAGAGAGAAAGAGAGAGAGAGAGAGAGAGAGAGAGAGAGAGAAAAGAAGAATAAGATGAGTAGAAGAGAATGAGAGACCGATCGCGTCTAGCCGAAGAAGAAAACTGGAAGATTATCATCTTTCTCTTCCTTTCTCTCGTTCTCTACCTTTTTCTCCTCTTTCTTTCTCATACTTTCTAACTCTTTCTCTCTCTTTTTCTTTCTCCCTCCCGTCACGTGCACCTGTCTTCGTTTACCTGGTAGATGCCTGGTAAATGCCCCGCCCCGGCCAATAGAGGTACAGCGGGCCTCGTGACGTCAGTCACGCGTACCAGGAGGCCCTAGGTGGAGGGGCGAGATCATCCACCACCACCTTTGGAGGCCACGAAAGCCTCACGGGGACCAGCCCGACCAGCAGCTAACAGCAGCCAGCGGCGGTGGTCTCGCCGGCCGTTTGCCGCGGGGTGGGGGCAGGAAGAGGGGTACTCCTGGACCTGGTCAGACCAAAGAAACAACGCAGGAGTACCCACCGAAACCCATCCTGCATTTCCCACCACCGGCTCGTCCGGAAAACGTGCGCTAGCTTCCGGACGTCGTTCGTCCGAGTTCAGTCAAGTGAGTCGACTCGCACGTACCTTCTCTCCGACGAAAACGATTGCAGAGGGTTCCACTCCGGAAAGGCGGGAGTGTTGGCTTGGCGCGTGCCAGACGAGAATTTAAAGGGCCCAGTACCGGTAGAGAGAACATCGATCGGTCGAGGAAATTTGCCTTAGGATAATACTCCGTGAGAATTCGACAGCATTTAGGATGCAGAAAGATCCCTTCTCGTAAATTCTCCGATTTGGTGATATCCACGAGTTGATGATATCCCAGTGTGGTGACCGTATGTCACCTCCTTACGGTAATCAAAAGAAAAAAAAAGAGGATCTTTTTTCGGTCCTCCGAAAGATAGTAGCCTCGCCGTAGTCAATTCGCCGATCGGTCGCGCGCGGAGTTTAACAACGCAATACGGGGATCACATCGGTGGTAAGAGTGCGTGCACGGGGGGTGTGTGATGCCCTGGTTATGGTTAAGCGTGAGTGAGGTCAGTGGCAAGAGGCGGAGAAGAAGAATCGGTAGCAGAACGTCAAGCGGATTGTCACCCTCGTCATCGTTGCTGCTGCTGCCGCCGCCGTTGTTACCGCCGTCGTCATCATCGTCGTTCTCCCAGCCGTTCTGGAGACGACGAGAGCAGTGACCGCGCAAGGTCGACCTCGAGGCAGAGGCACGCGATTATGGTGCACCATTATCATCGTCGCCGCGGCCTCCAGGCGACCCACCACTATGCCATTGGGAGTCGCGTAGGCACTTCGCTCTTCCAGGTTATTCTGTTGCTCCTCAGCCTCTGGCTGCCCGTGCTCGATAACAGTGGTTTTGCTTTGGCGTGCGGACCCGGTAGAGGCGCCGGCCGACGGCCGAACCTGAGGAAGCTTACCCCTCTGGTCTTCAAACAGCATGTGCCAAATGTCAGCGAGAACACCTTACCGGCGAGCGGACTCAGTGAGGGACGGATTACTAGATATGACTCCAGGTTCCGAGACCTGGTACCCAATTATAACACGGACATCATCTTTAAGGACGAGGAAGGCTCCGGCGCCGATCGTCTCATGACACAGGTGAACGCGTGCGCTCTTTTTTTCAAAGACAAACAAATGCAAATAAATGAAGGATGAAGTGTTATCTTTTAACAAAAATGAAAAATCTAACAAATTCCTACTGTTTCATTCAATAATTTATAAATTTTCATAAATTATTTTTTCCGACTATATAAAAAATTATATGAACTTATAGTTTTTAGCGATTTACGTGAGATAAATCTATGGATTGAAATAAATTCACAATGAGGTAAATAAAATTAGAGTAAAGTCACATAATGATTAAAATTAATGTATCGTCTTCATTTATTTTATTTGTACCTTTAATTACTTGTTTTTTAATACACGGCGGATAGCTTTAAGAAATACTTAATTTAGAATTATATATGATTGCAAATGAAGTCAAACATGAAGAAGACATGTTTTAAGCTTCTTTAAGCGACAATAATTTAATTGTAAGACTTCAATCGTTATTTGTTGTAATGGGAATTTTTGAATTTTGGCGATTTTAACGTCATTGATGATAAAATGCAGCTCTGCGCTGTTTAAGTTATGATAAAGACGACCGTCCTTGAAGTAGTCCGGCTCATCGGTGAATCATCCTACGAAACGATACCGTATTTACGGGGGATATCATGTACGACTAATCGATCGGTCGATCATGGCCGCGTTCGGTCTCATATTAATTGAAGCGACAATTAGACGCGACGTTATCGTATCGAGATTGATGGGTTTCTTGCTTCCTCGTCGATTTGTCTGAGATGGTGAAGCATAATCCCCGAAAAAATGCAGTCAGAGAGCTTTACATTAAATTTCAGTAATAATGGTATTTGTACACATTTCCTAAGTGTTTGCAATCATTTTTTTTTTAAAGTAAGAAAGAAAAATATGATTATTTCTATGTTTTATGTGACTTATCCTTTTAAAAGCACGTATATATAGCTCGATAATTTCGCAAATAATTTGTATAACAATAATTTTATTTAACTTAAATATATACATTTATTTTCTTCAAGAATAAATCACAAACTAATTAAAATTGCCATAGTAATTATTAGCGCTATAAATATTAATAGTAATTATTAAAATTAATTAATAATTACATGTGAGATACATTCATTTATAAAGGATGAATATTACAAATAGTTTACCTGTGCAGACGTTTCGACCCCTAATTCGAGTTCTTTTCAACGCAATAAGACAGGAAATGGATAGAAAATTTCAATTTTTCTTCCAACACAATTAATTTGATAAAACTTTTCGTCATCAACATCTTAGGCATTACGTAATGTAATGTTCAGAATTAAGTGCTAAAGAAAATTTTTTTTATATCATAATATTATCTATGTTGGTGATAATCAATTATATTATATAATATAATTTCCTTAAAAACTGAACCGCAGCGAAAGTGAGAAAAGTTGTAAGATAAATAAAAAAAATGAAGTCGAAATTAATATGCAGTCGTTAACCATTTCAGTAAATTCAGTTAATATATAGTAATTTGCAACATATATATCGATCGACTGTCTCTTCCATGGACACACGTAGTAATTCGTATCATTACTTTAATACGTGTCACCATACTTCGGTCCGTATGACAAACTAGCTACTGCACGTCGTTAAAACGTCGGCAGGTGATTCACGCGAAATGCTAGCCGGCGTGATAAGCGGCTCGATCATGTTCGATCATGCTCGCTTCATGCGGATAGTTTATGTACGATTCTATTACGTTGCGTGATTCTTCTTCGCTGTCAATTTCGAAGTATCATATTTCTTCGGGGAGATCAGGATGAGTTTCCTCCATGAGAAATTTACATACACATAATAGGATGAAAAACTACAAAATAGAATATCAGATTAATGACGATTAGTTAGATGATCTTTGTGAACGATCTTTCTTATGTAAATTTGTCACTTCAGACTTAAAAATCATCCGCGATGCTGTGGGAACTGAATGCGAGAAAAGGACGTCCGATCGCTTGCCCGTCATCACCTTTAAGAAGCGAAGACTATTCGAGGTTTATTTCTCTTCCATGGAGGCTCCATTAGTGCTTTATTCATGCATTTTTTATCGGTGTTTGCCTTCCACTTGGCGCCCCCGCGAAGCGTGAAACGATTCTCCTAACTCCCGCTCCGTTGTATTCCAATTTGTAAGTCGACATCGCCGCGTCGCACAAAAGGCAGCCTCGGCGCCGCGGACAGTGGTGCTTAACCGGACAAAACCTGAATTCTTGAAAGTTTATCCAGAAAAATATCCAAATATACCGAAAATCTTAAATTGTTGACTAATGAAGGAAATCACGATGAGAGTAGATAATAGGTTTCCCAAGTAGCACATAGCGCCTTAAAGCGTTAAAAAAGCGCTAAAAATGTGTATATAAGTGATTTTGAGCTTTGCAGCTGTTGCTGTGCTAGTTCGGTTTCCAGATCGAAGGAAATGTCAAATGCGAAAAAACAAAGTGTCTTTCATGAATTAATATTCTTTAACACGTTGGCTGTCATGCTGAATTTGCTGAATTCAAAAGTTCTATAATACTAGACCACTTAAGCGGCGTCTGCAATGATATTTTAAGGTTTAAATCTTAAGCTTTTAAACCCTAACCATAAAAAATTGACAAATCCCAATCGAATGTGAGGAAATAATCAATGATTGGCCAATTTTTTACGGCTTAAGGCTTAAAGCTTAAGTTTCACATCTTAAAATCCCATTATAGACGCCACTTTATACAACAATCGTGACATATTCTGCTACCATGTTTAAAACTCAAAAATATACCATTTTTATTTCTACATACTTTATTTTGTGAGCTCTTTCAAGGTACAAATGAATGTGAAAATTGCAATGAAATGCATGTCACTCATACACTTGACGTAGCAGTTAATCTGTTAAAGGCATTTCTGAAATATTTTTGCTGTGCGGAATTACAGCTGTTTAGTAATCTGTTGTGTCCGATTCGTATTAAAAGAATATAAAACAAAAAATATTTCTATGAAATGATGATAAGAACTCTTTTAAGTCGGAATAATTTTTTGGCTTATTATGAACACAATTTACTCTTGTCTTTGAACACAATTAATTCTTGTATTCCACTGTACTATATTCTGTTGTATATGAATAAAAAGAAATGATAAAAGATATATACAAAAAAACATGGATATGAATCTAAAAGTTGTTACTGATACTAATTATCTTTAAAAAAAGTTTCTCTGTAATTGATTGAAAATAATTAAAATAATTATCGTCAGACCATAAAATTTCTCTTGAGATGGATCAACTAAGCAGACAACGTGTCGAATTTGCTTCAAGTCTGAATTGCGTCATGAAAATGATCGAAAATTTATTTAGGCGAATACATTTCACCTACTGTCATATCAATTAAAGGAAAAAAAGCCCATTAAACTTATTATTCGTTACTTTATCGTAAATATTCATTCGTATCCTTTACTGAGTTGTCCTGTGTCCGTCTTTATAGGCACCACTGCGCGCAGCGTCGGACCGGTTGTTGCTCTGTGTAAACTAACAGTCGAGGTGGAAATAGAAAGAGTAGACTTTTCTGGCTTCACATATTTACCCGAATTTCGCAAAGGAGGACCGCCTTTACGGCACGCCGCTAAAAGAACACAGAACCGGCGTCAAATCTATCACCGTCACAATATTTTCACTCGTTCAAACATTACCACAAGATAACTACTACTGCCGCCGTCACTTATCTTCTTTTTCTGTCAGGTACACGCTGTGCTTTTGAAATACATCACAGGTAACACACTTGTGGTGCTTGTCCTGAAAAGTCGACTTTTTGTGCTAATATTCCTTGGCACAAAACGCTGACAATTGGCGTTTTCAAACAGTTAATAAGAATTGACCGAAAATCCGGTCCTTAGATCAGACATTTAAAGGTTCGAAAGTCATAAATAAAAAACTGTTAGATAAAAGAAATAGATTCAATGGAATGATCTGTATTTCTGCAAAGGTCCATCAATATTTATTTGGCATTGTAACTTTTTTTTCTAAAAATATTTTTTTCGCAAAAGAGATCGATAAATTTGTTAGGTGAAAAGTTGATGAATTTTATACAAAGTGAGCAACGATACTTAAAAATCCGACTTACTCATCAACAATATTTATATCTAATAAATATTGTTGATATGTGAAATATTGTTAATAAATACCGTTTTCGGACCTGTCCGGGCATCGATGTCTCTTAAGTCGAGTCGCAATCCGTCGGATCCATATAGCTCGTTAACGTCACATATTTCCCGTGTATGCATCTCAAAATACGAAAATACGTTTTTCCGCAATGAATGACGTTCTTCCCGTTCTCAGAATGACAGTCCGACGATGTCAGGAAAGATGGACATTTTTTACTTACTCGTAAATAATGACGATCGTACGTCAAAACGCTTGTAAAGTATAAATGAAATAAGATATTTGCTTTCGCAAAGAGAAGTTATTTGTTACGATGATTAATGGCCATGTATGAGCGGAGATTTTCTTGCTCCTTACATCTAACCCTAGTTAAATTAATTTTTAGCATCTATATAAGCAATGAAATGTGAGATTTATAGCGCGATATTTTAGCACGATCAATTTACAATGGTATTTTAAGCAGTGACAAGTTATCTGATTAGTATCACTGCTCTAATTAATCTTTCTTGAAAATCAAACACGCCGCATTGCAAAAATCACAATCAAGTAATTAATAGAAAAGACAGCGATAAATTTGTATCCTACGTCTAATATTAAATATGGCCGCGGTATCTTGAGCTTTCGTTTGTGAAAGTTGCAAATAACGTTATAGCGAGTTGAGAGTCCGTATATTCCTGAATATAAAATACACGAATCGATACTTAAAAAGATGATATATTTTGTCCATTCCAAGTTATCTGAAGTAATGGTAGCGTTCAGCAGAAAAAGGAGCTTTGCAACTGTCTTGTAAAATATTTTAATATGATTACTTTATTCATTTGTGGTTTCTTCAACGAGGAATTGGAGACAAGAAACAAATCACATTAAAAAATCT